ACAACTAACGTTTGGAATCATCTCAGACTGAGTTCTGGAACATGACAAGGAGTTCACTGTGCTCAACAGGCCTCCACAGTCACCAGATCTCAATCCAATAGAGCATCTTTGGGATGTGGTGGAACGGGAGATTCGCATCATGGATGTGCAGCCGACAAATCTGTGGCAACTGTGTGATGCCATCATGTCAATATGGACCAAACTCCCTGAGGAATGCTTCCAGCACCTTGTTGAATCTATGAGGCAGTTCTGAAGGCAAAAGGGGGTACAACCCGTTACTAGCATGGGGTACCTAATAAAGTGGCCGGTGAGTGTAGATTTTAGTTGCTCTGAATAACACACATTTTTTGGAGAATTCATTGTTGGTTTTATTATTATTTTTTTTTTTGTATGAGATAAATGAAAGCAGCATAACTGAACAAAGATCTCTGACTTCAACACAGAAGACCAGGATCAGAAATTTCTGTTTAAATGTAATTCTGAGGAGAACTTAAAATCGAAACATGCTGTGATTTTGTTTCAGATTAGGAACTGAAATAGATCAGATAACAGGTTTATATCCAGGTGTCACACAAAACGTATAGTTTTCTAGGAGAATGTAATAAAATGAAATAACAACTGATAAGATAAAGCCATCCTTTCCAATCTTAACATGAAAAATGAGTGAAAAATAGCACCAACATTTTACCTTCAAATAAGAAATCATTACCTTAAACATCCAGAGATTAATCCCAAATCTCAAGATCATAAATGATTCAGTGCAATGTTTGATAATAGTGACCATTTTTTGTAATTAGCATAAATTCAGAACAATCACTAATTTCTAAGAATCTAAGATTCTTGTATTGTTAGTAGAAAGTGTTCTGTCCATTGCCTTGGTTTAATTTCTAGAGATGAAAGAGCTACTTTCCAAATATGAAATATATTAGACTTTTCTAAAGGTCAAAACTGATTGCTGACCAAAACCTGATATTCTGACTGTTTTACAGATAGAAATAACGGTTTTAACATTGGACCAATTATTGGAAAAGTTGTCATTATCCTCATTATCCTGCCGCTGCTGTTGTGGTGCTGCATACGCTCAAAGGGTGAGAGCCTTTTTCTTTTCATACTGTGGTGGACTATGTAGTGACTTAATACTTTAATTTAAATATATGTTACTGTTTTGACAAAACAGATATAAAACAATTTGCATCACAATGTGACAAATTCCCTCTTTTTGTCCACAGATTTCTGCAGCATCAGGTCAGTACATCATGGTTCACTTTCCTCTGATTTTAAACATTCATCATCATCATCATCTATTCTTTAAATTTAACTTTAACTTTTAACATATTAAGGTCAGAAAGCAGCAGTCAAAGCTCCACCACCAATCATGGAGTCAACCAGGCAGACAGTCAAGTTTACAGCTCTCTGCTGCACCGTTAGTAGCTTTTTTATGATTTAGACTGAATTATTTCCTAAAATTCTTTCGTTTAATAAATATTCATAAAAAAAGGCCCTATTGGAGTTTGTTCCATGAATGATGGAAAAAACAGTTAAAGCTGGTTTACACCTGAATTTAATCATTTTGAAATCTAAATGTTTGACTTTAATATATCAAACGGTTTTACTTTAACTTTGACCTTTTTTTTATTGTTTTACAGGTGATACTTCTGAGTATGAGTCAATCCAACGAGCCACAAACAAAGGTAAACTATATTTCTTGAAGCAGTCAGAGATGCAACAACTGGTTGATTTCAGCTGACTGATTTCAATGGTGTGAAATTAAAAGGAATAAGTATTTCAGTAATAATTTCAAAGTTCTTACTTAATTAGCTAAACAGGAATTTGATAGCTGGGATAATCTCTATTTCTTTTGAAAAATAAGTGAAGGAAGCAATTTTTTCTTTTGTGGATTGGAAGATTCTTGCCCGTCCCCCCTAACCGGATTTGGTTAGAGTTTGATTTATCAGCTAATTCTGTTAGTTTTGGAACAAATCAAACTGCTACTTCTGCTGTTATGATTGGCTAAAAAATCTCGACATGGGTGGCAGGTACCCAGTCATCTCGTAGAATTGTACTGAATGTCCCTCCCTTTTGCCAACACTTCTTATGGGAGCTTTCCCACATTTATACATGTAGTTCAATTCAAATACTTCACGGTATCAATCTGGCTTATGCCAGGATAATAAAATAGTCCTCTAAGAACAACATTTGTTTTCTTGTGAAAACCAGGATCAGCAGCTATGAGATAAAGATTTTTTAACATTTTCCCCTTTAAATATTCTTTTCTTTGTGAATCTTTTTTTTATCATATTAACAGGGGGCCCTGATGACCCAGATGAGGATACTATTTACACTAATATTAAAACAGAAACCCCAGGTAGGTGCCTTCAACTCCAACAGAAGTATTACTTTAAAAGAAAAGGGAACTGGTTATGGTTCTTAAAAAAGTAACTACAGTAGCAGCCATTCAAAATATCCCAACTTTTCTTGATGGGCCCTTGGCTGGTCCCCCATAATAAATTTTTAATCATAAATCTTTGTACTAAAATATTTCTTCCATCATGATTTGTGGACATTAAGATCTAAAGTGACGCGCCATCTCCTGGTCAGACGCTATAATTCATTGAAAGGGTGGAGTCAGAGTAAAAACATATGCCCGTCTAGGAGAAGGATGAGGTCACTCCAATGGCTGGAAGTTGTCTGCCATTCAGCTGGCGTTTGACTGGGAAGGACAATTTTGAATGACTGATACTGTAAGTTAATAGCCTGACGTAGTCCGACTCAATTCTAGTCAGAATATGAGTCTGATGCTGCTCCATAGAGCTGTGATTATGGGGCGTGTTTCGAACGAACCAGGAAAAAAAATGCCTCTGCACTCAATTGGATAGACCTACAACCAATAAGAGCGACGGAGTGCGTGACGTATGTTAAGCGAGGCATAGTTGTTGTCCACAAAAATCAAAGCGTGCAGTTTCGCGTTTCTCTGTTCCTCTTTTAAAATTAATTTGCTGTCGATATCTTCTAGAACAGACCTAATAGCAGAATCTACTCACCCAAACTCTCCAGCGGCAGCCATTATTGTTGTCACCCTAGCGCGCTTTGGTCACGTGGTTGATTACGTTACTGTTGATCATCTGTCCATCATCGTATAAAGTCCGCCCTGACAATTTGATTGGATCGCCTGACAGTGGGCGATAATACTCGCGCTACTATGGAGCAGAGCCAGACCGAACTTCCCCGAACTCAAACCTTGTGGGCGGGACTAAGTTCGGACTGGCACCCAGGCTAGTAAGTTAATAATCTAGTTACTGCATATTGAACTAATCTTTAAATACAATACAATTCAAATTCATGGATGAAATATTGGATAAATATAAGCACTATACATCTAAAATAACGTTAAACTATAACTTTCCCCGAATTGGTGTGTGTGATTGGAAAACTGAGTTACAATACAATTCTGTAGGTATCCATCAATCTATTTTCCATCACGCTTATCCCTGACGAGGTCGCAAGGGGTGCTGGTGCCTATCTCTAGCTGTCTACGGGCAAGAGGCGGGGTACACCCTGGACAGGTCACCAGTCCATAGCAGGGCAACACAGAGACAAACAGGACAAACAACAGTTCAATCACCTAAGGAGAATTTCAGAGAAGCCAATCAACCTAAGGGTCATGTTTTTGGACTGTGGGAGGAAGCTGGAGTACCCAGAGAGAACCCACGCATGCTCAGGGAGAACAATAAAACTCCATGCAGAAAGCCCCCAGGCCGAGAATCGAATCCAAAACCTTTAGTGCTACCCAATGCGCCACTCTGGAACCCAATTTGTAGATATTGTAACAATCTTGGTTCTGTTGGTTTTCTCTAAGTTTTCAGTTTCAAGTTTTTCCAGGTTTTTCTTTGTTTTCTAGCTTTATTGGTCAGTTCTGGTTTTATTTAAGTTTCTTAGGTTTTTCTTTGCTTGTCCTCCTTGTGTTTTCTTTTCCCTTGGCTTCCTCGTCCACTCTACTCAAACCTGCTCCCTATCAGCTCGTTAGTCCTGCCTTTGTTCAGTCAGCCATAAATACACTCCCTCTGCAGTCCCTGATGCTGGTTCCTCGTGTTTCTTTGTCTTACCCTCAATCCTCATGATTGTGTTCCCCTGATGTCCCCATGGTCTTGGTTTGTGTTTAATTTTTATGTGGGATTTTTGGATTCCTGTTTTGATTAACATTTTTAAGTTGGAGTTTTTGGATTCCTGTTTTTGCTGCCTGTGATTGTTAATTAAATCTTCAGAGAACTCAAACCTGCCTCTCAGCCTCTGCATTTGGGTCCTCACAAAAACCTCCTAACAAATCATGACAGATATGTTTTTTTTATTTTTTTTTATAATGCAATAAAATAATACTGATGTTTTAGAAAATTTCATTTTTGCACATTAAGAACTTTCAACTGGCTTTAAAATACGTGCAATTTTGCTTGAACTTTTACATACCCTTCCATTAAAGACAGAAAAATAGTCTGCAAGTAAAATTTAAAATGACAAAAGTAATGCATAAAAAAACAGAAATCATGGCATTAATTTTGAATATATATATATATAATAAATGCTGTCAGTGAACTAGTGTCTCTAAATAATAATTTTTCCTCTTATTCTGTGTTCAAATCATCATGAAGTTGCTATTTTACTTTGGAAAAATACTCTTATTTTTTGTCTTGGAATCCAGTAACTGCTAAAATACAATTCCCTCCAATATAGCAGACAATAACCGAAAGGTAAATGTCACTGCACTTAGATTCATTTGTAAAATTCCTCATAATAAATTGTAATCTATAACTGTATCATTAGTTTTTTTTTCTTCTAATTTTATACTGTTGCATATTTACAGTAAAGGTTTACGTCTTCATAGTAATGAGCAGAAACGTATTTAAGGTTCGGTAAAGCTTTTAAAATTAGCCAAGTTGTTAAATGCATGTAGTTTACAGTGAGTATTGCAACAAATGAATGCAACATAAAAAAACTCACTTTTAATATTTTAATTCTTTGCTTTTTTAGATGAAGGTGGAGTCCAACAGCAGCACATGGAGCAGTTTAGGCTGGCAGGCGGTTCAGGCTGAAAATTATCTCAATGCAAAAACATCCTCTCGTGTGTTTCAGTCTGTGAAGGAGGCTGAGTTAAGAACCATCTATGAAACAGTTGTAGGCACATCTGGGAACAATAACAGACATGCACAGATGATGGAAAATATGTAACTTTTTTGTATTGTGGATTTGAATTCTTGACACAGTTTTTCTTTTATGGCAGCCTGTCCTTTCTCAGTGCAGCAACAGCAATGTTTCACAAAAAATGTGTTTCATTTCAGTTTTATTTTGTCTTAGTATCAGATTTTCAATTAAATGAAATAATTCGAAATTAATAAGAAGGTATCAGTTATAGTTTTTGATGTAGACATATATTATTAAACATTTAACATTGATTTAAACATATTGCTTTTTTTGCTGTTTTAGTTTGTATTTTCTGCTATTTTATGGCTTCACAGTCTTTGTTTTTCCAGAACACGTTTAGTTGTCATTAAATTTCCTTTTTCACCTACTTATCATTGCCACAACACTTTAACCCAATAGAAACAGACTGAAGGTGTCTGTAATGTTTTACTTTGCTCCAAGTTTTCTAGTTTTATTGGTTTAATTCCTATTTTGTTGTATTTTCTGGATATATTTTAGTTCTTGTCTCCATGGTTTGTGGTTTGTTAACATTTTTAGTTGAATTTTTTAAGTTTTGCCTCAATGGTTTGTGTTTACCAATTAAACTGCAAGATATCACCTCAGCCTCTCTGCCTCTGCATTTGGGTCCTCTAAACCACAACCAAACCCTGATAGAATGTATCTTTATGCAAAGAGGAGATTTAATGTGAATAATGTGTGGTGAGGTTGCAGGTTTTTAAAAGTTTTAAGAGAATGATTATTATATTAACTTAATTATTAAATGTGATACAGGAAGAAGGCAATGTGTCAGTAAATGTTTAATTTTCCCTTTAGGGGTCATTTCCTGCTCTGAATGTAGAGTTATCATGGTAAATGAAAGTAAGTTAAAACTAAATATGTATTTTCATGTAAATTTAAAATGTTTTACATGTGAACCAAACATGTATGTAAAGTATTTCTTGTTATTAAAAAATGTATACTCTTCTTTTAGTTTCTGACCATCTTTTTATTTGTCCTTGTTGGTATTTTTAGATTTATATTTAGTAAAGAGCTTTAACTCTTAAACAGCATCTGTGCCATCACATTATTCTTGAGCTTCCTCCACAGGTTCTCTATTACAGAAATGTTTCAGTGTCCTCCATTAAGATGTAGCAGGGGGAGGAAAATTTCAATAACAAAATCCCCAGTCGCCCAGATGAAAAAAGGCCAACACTCGTCAATAATCAGGATAGAGATTAGATCAGTGACATTATAAGAACTGGGTGTTTCTTTAAACTTAATAAAAAGGCCAGCAAATATTGAGTATTTTCCTTAAAATGACAATATCTTGTAAGTTCCATAGGTATTAGCCAAGGGGCACAGCTGTTAAAAACATTTTAATCCAAAGGAGACATGGAGGCCTGGCTGGTCAGTGAAAATGTGATGAAACCAAGATGTCTGTTAGAAAGCTGAGGGTTTAGAAATATTTTTCTTTCCAACATTACAGTGAATCAAAGCATGGATTCTGATAAACCAAATAT